TCTCTGCCCTGCCTGCCCTCTGCCCTGCCTGCTCTCTGCCCTGCCTGCCCTCTGCCCTGCCTGCTCTCTGCCCTGGCTGCCCTCTGCCCTGCCTGCTCTCTGCCCTGGCTGCCCTCTGCCCTGCCTGCTCTCTGCCCTGGCTGCCCTCTGCCATTCCTGCTCTCTGCCCAGCCTGCTCTCTGCCCTGGCTGCCCTCTGCCATTCCTGCTCTCTGTCCTGCCTGCCCTGGCTGCCCTGCCTGCTCTCTGCCCTGGCTGCCCTCTGCCCTTCCTGCTCTCTGCCCTTCCTGCTCTCTGCCCTTCCTGCTCTCTGCCCTGGCTGCCCTCTGCCCTGGCTGCCCTGCCTGCCCTCTGCCCTGGCTGCTTTCTTGATGATCCTCAGATCCCTGCTGCCAGTGCGCAGGGCTCCATGTGTGCGATCGCTCACCACGGGACGCTCAGAACCGGCCTTCTGCCACATGGACCCATTCAGCGTTACAGCCCACGGGCCGCTCCTATGACCAGGCCCATGTTTTGAGCACAACTGGAAGATATTACCTGACAGAAACAAAAGGGCAAAATAAAAATTCTGGCACGTGAAACGTTTGATGTGTACAAATTATAACAGTATAATATAGTATATAATATAGTGTATATAGTAAAAGAGTGAATCGTGTTGATTCTGTCTAATCATACAACTAAAATTATATAGTGTATAAGTAAATTATTACTTTGGTTCTCAAGCATAAAGCTAATAAAACAAGCTGTTAAAATGAAGGGATGGCAGTTTCCTTCAGGCAGTTATATTCTGGTTGTAGATTTTTACAACCACTATATAAACTGCGCTAATTACAGCTGCTTATCTTCTGTTAGCAGCGGCACCCACAATGCAGTGCAGCACAACGGCACGCACAATGCAGTGCAGCACAACGGCACGCACAATGCAGTGCAGCACAATGGCACCCACAATGCAGGGCAGCACAACAGCACGCACAATGCAGTGCAGCACAATGCAGTGCAGCACAATGCAGTGCAGCACAATGCAGTGCAGCACAATAGCACCCACAATGCAGTGCAGCAC